AGTAACCACTATAAATAGTTACCTTTGATGTCTCACGAATGTGGGACATCAACCCATGCCAGAGTGCTCAAACTGCAAGCAGTGAGCATGCGCACAATGCGTAAGCAGCAATGGCTCATCCTGTAGAGTGCTCAACATGACACACATACACACACATATATATATATACATATATATATTGAAATACATGAAAAAATACATACATATTATTATACATGAAAAAATTAAGTCTGTGTACTCAATATACATACATATTTAAATATATATGTATATATATATATATATATATATATATATATATATATATATATATATATATATATATAATATATATATATATATATATAATATATATATATATATATATATTATATAATATATATATATTATATAATATATATATATTATATAATATATATATATATATATATATATATATATATATATATATATATATATATATATATATATATATGTATATATAATATTCATTTTGAAATCAGTGGTGTTTCCTGCAATCTGATTGGTTCACAGGAGGGCGATTTCAGTAAGAATCGCACTGCGATTCGAGCTGAAATCGCACTCCTGTGAACCAATCACATTAGAGTGCTGACTTCAGCCAACCAATCATATTTAATCATAGGATTCAAACAGCCAATCAAATTTAACAAAAATATGTTACGCGGCAAATTAGCAAAAACAAAAAATTTACATATGTCATGAATGATACATAATTAAGCAATTTTTTGCACATAAAAACAAACTAATATGGATAGCTAAAGTAAACAGTATCAAGGAATTGCAAATTTTACAAATAGTAAAAGGCAAATTAAGAACATAATCTTCTATCAATATTGTCAAAACGCCAACAAAAGCAAATTTAAATCAGGGAAAACAAAGGTAAATTCGCCTATCGTATTTTCAGTTTTAAATGCACAAAACTGCACCAAAACTCTTTCAAATCACTCGTTAAACCTACCATATCTTTAAACTTACTTGTGTTGTCTCTTATTCTTTATAAATGTCTTCATTTCTTAAGCAATTTAGATTTTTGAACGTATATTAAAATATAATTTAACAAAACCTCATTTTGTTCGCTCATTGTTGTTATGCTACAGCACTCAGGGAGGTACCGGAGGTGTGTCTTCTGCAAACAAAAACGTTTCCGGATTACAAAAATGTTTTAAAATTTCAAAATGAATATAATAAAGTGGAAATTGAACATTGTATCGTGCAATTTTGGACTGAAATCAAACTTGTGATTAATACAAATCGCACTCCCGCTTCGCGGTCGTGCGATTTGGTAATCACGCGTTTGATTTCAGTTCAAATTGCACTCCACTCAGTTCAATTACCACATATATATATATATATATATATATATATATATATATATATATATATATATATATATAATATACGGCAAAAAAAGTTGTTCTTTGCAAACCAGTTAATTAAACGTTACACTCTAAGCGTGCAAAGCATAATGGGAGTATCATTTAATCAGTTTAAACTTGTGCTCTCATTAAGCTTTGCGCGCTTAGAGTTTAAGGTTTAAGGTTTAAGGTTAATAAGGTTTTCAGAGGACAACCTTTTTTCAATTAGCTGTTTACAAACCTTAGTCAATCGGATTTGGTAGAAATGTATTGTTCGTTAACGTTCGTAAAATCGTAAGATCTGCTGTTGACGTTCATAAGATATTACAGTTAACCTGTCGGATTTAACAGAAAATATCCAGAAACGTGCGCTTAGGATTATCTTCCCATCAAAATCTTATGGATCGCATCTATCATATTCAAATTTAGAGGCCCTTGGACATCGAAGAAATAATCTTTGTAAATCATTCATTGACAAGTTGAAGTCTGTCGGACGTACACAAAACAACCTTCTGGCACAGATTATAAATAATCGCCCTCAAGTAAGCGATAAAAAGTACAGTAGCCTACGTATAATGTAAGCTAGGTCACAACCAATATATTACTATGCCTCATACGAATACGCCATAAACGTTATTGCAATTAGATTTTCTTAATGTATATACGTGTATTATCAGGTAATTGTTACCAAACATGTAGCAAGGTAATCAATATTTCGAGTTTGGCAAGCGAATGCAGGAGTATCACGTTTCGACCGCGAAGTAATATATATGGCTTCGCTCATTTAACGTATCGGCTTGCTGATCAGTTCAAAACAAAAAGCAGGGCTGTCATCGGGTGTAACAAAATAATAAACAGAGGAAGGCAAGGTTATACTATTTTTCAAAATAAAATGATTTCAACAAACGTCCATAATTGAATACATCACGAGATATAGCCGTTTGAGAGAGAATCCTTTATAGATTCATATGGCTATGTAAAGTGAGGTAAAATGTTTCAATATTCAATCGCAAAAAGCAGAGCGAGCACACAATTAATGAGAATATTTTTTAATGTGCTACTATACGAGTAATACGACCGCTACTTCTGGAACCAATTTCAACAAATTATTCCAAGTCCAAGATTTATACTAAGCAACTAAAGAACTAAGCAACACTATATATACGGTATATATATATATATATACCGTATATATATACATATATTTATAAGTATATAATTATATATATACATATATATATATATATATATATATATATATATATATATATATATATATATATATATATATATATATATATATATATATA